AACATTTTTATTTCAAATCCCCTTCCCACCCCTCCCCCAAAAAGACATGGGTCTGAACAACAGTCATAAAAAGGAGATACAAACACAAGAGTCAAATGTCTCCCGCACCAACACTTACAAAAAAACTGGGAATTTTACATGGGATTTCCAAACAGGACCTGCAGCAGCTACTATTGTCTGAATACAAGAGTCCAAACATGCCTATTAATACAATATATACAGACAATCCCCATTCTGTAACTAATCTACAGGTACATCCAAACATCCCCCCACCCCCCACCCCCAAGAAAAATACCAAAACACACCCAAAGTGCATTTGTTATGTTTATATCAAAACATCTTCCCCGTCCCCCGTACTCTTCTCCCCTTAAAGATTGGCCTGCAAGTCTATTTTTAACCATTTAGTACATTTTAATAGTTTATGAAAATAAATTATACAGCAACTATTTTAATAAATTAAGCACAAAAAAGATAGGGAATAAGGGGAAGGTGGGGAGAAAAATGTGTCCAAACTAAGTGGGAAAAGAAGCCAGGTCACTTTGGGCTGGTGGAAGTGAGAATGATTTCAAAAAGGGCACAAAGTTGGAGGTGGGAAGTGATGGGGAAGGGACTGGTGAACTTCTGGCTGAGAACTAGCAAACAACCTGAGCCCAGATCTGGATACCCTACTTTTAAAGTTTCCCTAGAACACAAGTAGAGAGAAGTGGTTTTGTCACTGACAATACCAATTTCTGCATTCAAACAAGCTAATCTTCCAAGAGACCAGTGTCTGTATTTTTATGTTCTTTGGAAAATTCATGGTGCAACTCTAAGGGTTAGAACCTTCCCAAGAGACAATCCTGGGTGGGAGAAATCAAGCAGACGTTCTTGATCCATTTCTGCAGGTTGAGGAGCTAAGGCAGAGAAGATTCCAGCTTCTGAGCTGAGGCCCTATGTCTGTGACTGACAACTTTAGTTCTGGTGAAGGGTATAAACTGTGATTTTCTTGCATTCCTTCTCTAAGGGCAAAGAAGATCGCAGTCCAGCTGCGACAAAGCCATTTAAGTCTATCCTACTACTGTTGGCTGCCTTATTTCCTTCTTGGCTGCTGCCGCATGCCCTTCTGTGGGAAGTATTCCATGGACTCTTTAAGATGAGAGGAAATACAAATGACAGTGAGTCAACAAACTCAGCATGCAGGGCCGGCTGGAAAGAGACCAATGGAGAACAACAGGAAGAATGGGGAAGAAACATGGTGGCAGCACCAAGTCAGAAAGGGGAAAAGGAGTGAAGAGGACAAAGACAGAAATGTCATATAATCTGCACGTAAAGAAAAGGTTTTCCTTATGTCAGAAAATAAGACTTTAAAAACAGTGCATCACCATTTCTGTTTTAACTGCAGCACCTGTATCCCTGGCTTCCCTGTCTCTGTGGCTTACCCACTACCCCCCACCCCCCACCCCAAATCTATCACTTCCAAATCCTCCTCTAGATTGTGCTGAGCATGAAGGATCACATTCCCCAGGTTATAACTGGATGTCATAAGCACTTCTGTACCTGACTCTGCCTTCTTAAGTCTTATGACCCAATAATCCTTAGACAATTATTATAAGAGTCATTTTAAAGGGAGAGGGGGAGGTTGGTTCATTAATTTTTTTCTTTTTAAATAAAAAAAAGTTTTACTCCCCAGGAGCAAATAAATCATTTTGAACTACCAATAAACACTGCTGCAGTGAAAAGAAAGATGGCTACATGTATGCAATAGCACAAATTCAGTGTAAGACCAGCTATGTTGGAGACTATAGATAAAAGCACTTACCCTCTCCCTCCTCTGACCCTCCCCACCCCCCACAAACCAAACCAAAAGATTCCCATAGGGAAAATGTCTAACTCCAAAGCTCCTCCCTTGGGGGCAGAAGACATTTTCTTAAGCTTGGCAACCATGTCAGATTTCCCCCCAACAGAGATGCTCCCAACTCCCCAAATGATGGGGAGCAATTCTGTAAGTGAAGACAGACATGCACCCAGACTTTCAGACCTCTTAGTACCATTGCCAAGCCTTTCAACCCCAGAGCTCAAAAGGAAGTTAGAGGCAACAAGGAAGGTAAAAGAGAAAACAAAAACATTTTTTCTGCAGAGAGCAGAGGGCTTCGGGAAAGCTTTGCTGTTCCAGCAGCCCAGAGGAAAGACCTGAGAGGCTGGGACTTCTCCTAGGATGTGCCTCTCTCCTTTTGCCTCATCTCCAGTACCCCTTCTGGGTGCCCTGACCTCCCCCATCTCTTCTTGGGAGCACAGCGGGTTAGAAGCTCCTGTCACCTCCACACTGTTCCCAATCTTAATGAGGAGAAGGGGTTTATATAAGCAGCGCTACTAGAAATAGAACGGAGTTGGCCCCACCCCTTTCAAGTCCCTTCCCTGAGGCAGCTCGGGCTCCAGAGAGTTCCAGTCATTATATCTAGGCACAGGGCTAGGTCCCAAGGCCAAGGCAAACATTATTGATCAGGAGCCTCAAAGCCATCCGTCCTCACCCATAGATGTGTGTCTCCCCACAAGTCCCACCCTCCCCACCCCCATCGCAGCATACGAATTTCAAGTAATAGCAAGTTATAGCAGTAGTTGTCACCAGCTCACATAAGTCTAAGTCTATTCCTGTCCCAAGGAAGGTTACAGTAGATAACGGACAAGAGGATTGATTCAGTGGGTCCACTTTGCAAGTAGCCCATCGCTTGCCCAAGCCAACCCTTTAGGAAGTGATGGATCCTCTGTCTTCTCCAGTTTCTGTGACTTAAGAGAAAATGAGAGTGGGGAAGAATGAGTTCATGAGTAACTTGCCATTTTTGCTGAGTTTAATGTGAATGAGGAAGAGGTAGGTAGGTCAGCCTAATCAGAAGGTACCTGGAGGAGGGCATGAAGGGCATATGTTCCTGGCATAGCTGCTCAGCCTCTCCCTGCTCTACTTCCACCCTCTCGGGCCTGATTGTCCAGGGTCACCTCAGGCCATCCCAGTCTACCACCCTCTGCTTCTCTGCCATTTCCACTCACTTCCTGAGGACAGCCAAGTCGCTTCCTGCCCTCTTCTGTTCTACCATCCCCTGCTGTGGGATGAGCATCCAGCAAGAGGCTGCAACCAAGGAGAAAAAAGACAAGTAGGGAGGAGAACTGTCAATTATTCAGGCCAGTTTGAGTCAGGATTTGAGAATTCAAATAATACCATGGAAATTCAAATGAGAAAAGGGCAATATTACACAGTCCTTCCTTAGCTATTCCTGTGAAACAATAGGTAGGGGGTTGGCAGCCTTCAGAGGGTCCTGTGAGGCTGCCAGGGAAAGGAAGGTAGGTCAACGAGACTCGACTCAGCAGTCTGCCTCCTCCAGATTCCCTCTCAGGGTTCAGATTTGCTGATGGATGCTGGAGGTTTCTAACTATAAACCAATGAGCTGAAAAGGAGGAAAAACTCAAAGCTGATGTATGTAGCTAGTATTGGCTTGGGGCGCTGAGCTGCCCAATATGTTACACTCATTTCTACCTCTGTGCACCTACTCATGCTGCTCTGTCCCTTTCTGCCTATTTCAATCCCACTAAGCCTTCAAGACTGCCAAGTTTCACATCTATGAAGCCTTCACTTCCCACTTCTAGTTCATAGGGACCTCTCCCCTAACTCCTATCACACATCTGTACTATAATTTGGCAGCTGATTCTTCATTGTCATACTATTTTCTAAATGCTCTGTGTGATGCAAAGTATCTCCCCAAATTCCTATCTCACCTTAGGGATGAATCAGGTTCAAGACTCCTTTTGAATTCCCAGAGTACCTTGAAAATAGCAGAAGCTCAAGTTTTCATTAGCAATAGCCAAAGAAAACAGGGGTTGAGCATCTGCCTTCTTATGACCAGAAGGGATTCTAAACTTTCCTCTTCAGGGTCAAGGTTCACAGGTGCTAAGTCTATTTCTGCATTGAAAGTGTTGCGTTAAAAGCCACAGAAGGGAAATGTTCCTTGTGATGAGTGGTGGGCTAAGTTAATGCTGCAAAGCAGATTTCATGGCCAGATCTCCCAGGTGTCTTTACATCCTTTGAAAGATTCATAGTTTGGGAGACCAGCCATTTGGGATGGGGGACACGTGACAGGAAGAGCCACCATCTCAGCCTTCAGTAGTCAATGCTTCCAGATGAGGTATTTCTACAAATTACTGAGACACACTGAGGGCCTAACCCCAAACTTTGAGGAAACCACCGTCTTGGTTTGATAACACATCTAAGATGAAGTAGAGATAAACACAGGGGAACTGTGGAAACAATTTCACGGAGCACCTATTGCAAAGTATTAACAGTCTTCCATATACTGTGGCCCTTCTTAGATCAAAATATTTTATAAGCTTACATCTTAATATGAAATCTCAACTCAGTCAACTCCACATGACAACAGTCTCAAAAGCTTATCATTCAGAGTCAGGTGATGGTCACCTTTGGGACAAGTTTAAGCTTCCAAAAAGCCTCCCTGCACTTCCCCTCTCAACAGGAAGACTTAAGGGTCAATGCTATAGGACAGAACAGCTTCTAAATCAGCAATGGATTGGATTTTTCATCAAAAGAAGGGCAGTGATCCACAGGACTCTCCACCCCACCCCACCCCAACCCACCCTAATATGTTTGGAAACCAAGCCACTATTTGGTTCCTTGCTACCTCCCTGGTCCAGAAGCAATGACATGCTTAGACAAGAAGATAAACTTTCAAGCATGAGATTTAACACTCTGCTGATCAGGTCTAAGGACCCTGCATTCTGGAGAGAGCATCTCCAGAAAAACTGTGATGGTTTTGTCCCTCACCTCTATCCTCACTCTATCTAACTGGCTGATGGATTAGGACGGAAATCCTAAATTACGGAGATGGTCTGACATGAAGAATCTGAAACCACGACTGGGGCTTTGAACCATTCAAGCAACGATAAAAATACTATTTCCTTTGTGGAAACAATGGGATGTACCATGTCCAAGGTAAAATGGGCTGCTTATAGGAGAGAAGGGAGGAGTAAAATGTTTTTTTATTTCTTCCTGGTTTAGAAGGAAGAACAGAAGTACCCTGAGGTCGTGGATTTCAGGAAATAGGTAGAGCAAATTTTAAAAGCTTCTAAACATCAGAGGCATGCGATTTCAAGATCTCAGACCTCAAACAGGTGTGAAGAGACTTCAAACACACTGCAAACAATATGCCCGTTTGTCAGTTTCCTTCCCATGATGTTTTGTCCCACATCGTCTGCTTTCTTCATGAGCTCCTCCAAGGAGCCTGCACTTCACACAAAAGGCTCTAAATTAAGGAACTCCAAATCCCTCATTCCATCTTCCCTCAGGCCCCTATTACTTATGACATGTTTTCTCCACTGCAGAGCACCATAGCTAATGTTAAAGTGTCTGTTTGTAAGCCCTTTCTTTTCATTGACTGGGGCAGCTCTTTCCCAAACCCACCTCAAATCCAACGGGCACAATCGCCAGCTGCTCTTAAGACTATGTTTTCCATACTGAAAATGGAAATATCAAAAATAAAACTTCTGAAAAAGAAACAGTACTGAGACTTTCTCCACCTTTCCACATTGCTGATCCAGTAGTACGATCCCAACAAGGGATGCAGAGCTGGCGGCTGGCATTCCCACCTCAAGAACTCTGTTGTGTGCTTCTTCTGTGCCTTATGTGGGAATCAAACATTTTGTACAGAAAGTCTTAACTGTTCCTCCTTCCCTTTTGCTCTTCACTTCCCTTATCAACCACGTAGCTTCATTTGGTTCTTTGCAACTGGAGCTTGGCCACCAAAATACCTTAGGGGGAAAAGAGAGAAAAATCAAAATCAACAAGAGCAAAGGCCCAACATTCTTGAAGTAGAATGGATATTGTCAAATAGTAAAATGAGATGGGTACCAATGACACCAACAAAAACTATCTTAAAATATGTAAGCAGCCCATTACTGAGATAATGCAAGGGCAGACATCCTGTGGCACCTGCCATTTGTGGCATCCTATGACTCCCTACTATTCTTTTCTCTGTCTTCCCCAACACCGTCCCTGAAGGTCTCATAGAACTTCTATTTTTCCCCCACAGGCCTACCAATCACCTTCACAGGCAATGCATAGTTGTGGATAGTGTCTTGGGGCTAAAAGAATCCATGACTACTGCACTAACACCTTGTGTGCCTGGCTAGAAATTCTAGGACTCCTACAGGCTGTCAGCTATTTAGGAAAGTTACACCAAATGATCAAGAAAAGAACTGCTGATTTTGGTTGTTTTAACTTTGTACTGGTCCCACATATGTAATATTGTAATGTTGTTATATAAATTTTTTTCTTTTAGGCAATTGGGGTTAAGTAACTTGCCCAGGGTCACACAGCTAGTAAGTGTTAAGTGTTTGGTCTGAGGCCGGATTTGAAGGGTTTTGTCAGTTGAGACTCAAGTTGCAAACTAACACATACCACAACCACATGAGACTCCTAAGGCAACATATGTACGAAGGGAACCACGTAGAGCTATTGTTGTTGTTACTGTTTGTTCGTCATTTTCAACGAGGACTAATGACATCACGGGGTGATGTGAACTAGATTTAAGTGAGGCAGAATCACACAAAATCATCAGCCTCACTCTCTTGAATTATTGAAAATCCAGCGGCAGGACAAAAATCCAGACAACTGGCAATAGCCCTGGATGCAATGGATATAACCTTGGTGTCTACAGTGTCTGACCAAGTTCTAAGTGCTCCATGGCACCTGCTTCAGGACCTTCGCGGTTTAGCCATGCAATAGCTTCTTGGACCCACAGGTGAAGAGTTGAGTGAATCTACTACTATCCAACTGTACTGGGTTAGCTGCAGAGTCTTAAGAAAACTAATCCTACTCTGACTAATAAGATGGGGGGGAGAGAAAGAGGGTTGTGGGGGGTAAAATTTCTCCTCTTAAAAAGGATGGGCTAAGAGACGACAAATACAATCCATGAGACATGAGATTTAACATGTAGTCAATACTACCAGTTCTTTAAAAAAGCCCTAGGGGGGCAGCTAGGTGAAGCAGTGGATAGAGCACTGGCCCTGGAGTCAAGAAGACTTGAGTTCAAATCTGGTTGCAGACACATAACACTCACTAGCTGTGTGACTCTGGGCAAGTCACTTCACCTCAACTGCCTCACCAAAAAAAACAAAAACAAAAACAAAAAAACCCTAGAACTCCAGCAACTTTGCACTCTTCCTCCATCCTTTAACATCCTTTATTAAGAAAGATTCAGAATTCTTTTATACAAATAGATGATGTCAAAGGAGCTTTATAGGAAGAAAAACTAGCAGGTCAGACAAAGGGAAAATAAATTCTTTAAGTGAATTTTCTGGTTCATCAATTGTCTCCAACATTTTTCCCCTTATGGCCCAAATGGAACTCTAGAAAGAGGCAAAATAGTTGCCTTCCCTATGTTCTGGGTTCTTGGCTATGGTTGCTATTTAATTGAAAATCCACGCCTAGAGAACCTTAATCTGCTGGTGATGAGAGATTTTCTTTGGTTTTTAAGCAACTGTAGTGTACGACAGAAACCAAAAATTGTTCTCCACCACAGCTGATTAAGCACATGAGGGTGAATAAATTCAGGGTGGGCATCTTCCAAGAGAGGTGGGAAAGGTTACCCACTTAGTATCTGGCACCATATTCATTTACAGATATCTTTACCTTTCTCTATAAATATTCCTTTAAGTGTTTCATATTCATGTCATATGTCTTAAGGCATCAAGACAGAAGTGGAGGAGCAGCTAGGTGGCGCAGTGGATACAGCACTGGCCCTGAAGTCAGGAGGACCTCAGTTCAAATCTGGCCTCAGACCAAACACTTAACACTTACTAGCTGTGTGACCCTGGGCAAGTCACTTAACTCCAATTGCCTAAAAGAAGAAAAAAAAAAGACAGAAGCAGAAAGAACACTGGATTTGGAGTCACAGTCCTGGGTTCAAATCCTTGTGTGATTTCTTTGAGCTTGTTTCCTCATATATAAAATTAGAGTTGGCGGCCTCTAAAGTCTGCTCTAGCTTGAAACCTATGACCCTCTCTATTCTGGACTATCAACTCCTTGAGGGAAAGAAGGCTCAGTACAGAGAGAAGGTGCTCAATTCATGCCACTTAAATCATCAAAGAGAACCATGCTGAGTGGGCAGGCAGCAGACACCTTACCTGACAGCAACACATAACTGTCATAGGGCCCCTCGCTACGTGGAGGGCTCCACCTCTGGCTTCTGTCTTGAAATGAGCTGCGCCTCCTTCAAGGACAGGTATACTTCTTCTTGAGGATCATAGTAGTAGAATTTTCTGATGTAAGAGATCAGAGGCCTAGGACATAGAATTGGCACGGGCAATTATAATAAAAGATATTGAACAAAAAATGTTTTAATAAAAATAAGGCTCTATTTTCCCCCCCTTTCCTCTCCTCTGTCTCTGTATGGACAGGGGAGACTATTCTCAATTGCCCCTCATACAGATCTCTTCCCATATTTTCATCTATGTCTCTTTCTCTGACTTTATCCTTCAGGAGTCCCCATGTTACTTCTACCATATTCATCCCCACCTTTCTGTGGAGATTGCTAGGTACACACATGCATCCCTCTCATCTGGATACGTGCCACAGCCCTACAGTTAGAATTAGGAAGAAACAGACCTGGAGAGGGTGACAACTGAGAACATTTTATGCCAAGCTCCATTTCTGGAATTTGAGCCAATAGGCTTTATCAGGAAATATATTTATCTTTTCCCATATTCCCCTTCGGCCCCCAAATCCTTTAAATCCAAATGCCAACATACTTCGGCAAAGGAAGATCTGGGATGTGATCTATCCGGACAAGCTGTCGGATCCGAAAGCGGCAAAGATGCTGGAGAGATTTGACATTGCTGAATCTGGACACAGGATAGAGAAGCTGAACTGGAGTTGGTGGGAGTCCTTTAGGAACAAAAACAAGAAATAAAAACAAGACATTTAGTAGTTGGGTGACCTGAGCAAGAAAATGATTTAATCTCTCTGTGCTTTAGTTTTTTCATCTGTGAATTAAGAGGCTTAACGTTGATGACCTCAATTGTCCTTTCTGTCTCTATAGCTGAGAAAAACGTTCAAATACTGGCTGGGAAAGGGGCTGTGGCTATGACTAAAATTAAAAAGTATATGGCCCTTTCAGATTCTTTTCTCAATATGTTCAAGCTTTACTTAACTGGAGAAAACCACATAACATTTAATCCCCCACTTAGTATGTGGAGCTTTTAAGAATAAGACGAGCATTCAAAAAAATAACTGAAGAAAAAACTGAAAGGAGAATAAATAACTTAGAACAAAATCTGAAGATGGGAAGGAGCTAGTTATGCATATGGAAGAGTTTTTGACTAAACACAGGATAGGATTCCAGGAGACAAAACAGACAATTTTGATCACATAAAATTGAAGTTTTTGCATAAGTTTTCAAAAAAGGAAACCCAAGCTATCAAATAACCATTATGTGATCTAGATCACAATTAGAAAAATGCAAATTTAAAAAACTGAAACTCCACCTTACATACATCAAATTGTCCAACTGGAAAAAAAAAAAGAAAAATGACAAATGACAAGAGGTTGCAGGAAACAGGAACACTAAAACAAAGTTGTTTGAAGAGGTGAATTGGGCCAGGAATTCTAGAAAACAATTTAGAACTAAGCCCCTCCAAAATCACTAAACTGTGCATATCTTTTGACCAGCAATATCACTATTAAGCCAAAGCAATAAGAAAAAAGAAAAAAGAGAAAAAGAAGCAGCTCTTTGCCAAAGAACTGGAAACCAAGGATGTACCCATCAATTGGGGAATAGTCAAACAAAATTTGGTACATGAATACAACAGAATAAGATTGTACAGTAAGAAATGACAAAAGGGATGATTTCAGAGAAACCTGGGAAGACTTATATGAAGAGTGAAGTGAGCAGAACCAGGAGTAAAATTTATATAACAACATTATAGAGACCAAACAGTCAGAAAAACTATTATCAATGCAATGATCAACCATGGTTACAGAGGACCCAAGATGACACATGCTACCCACATCCTAATAGTAATGGACTCGAGGTACAGACATATAAAATTTTTTGATATAGCCAACTTGTAAATCTATTTTGCTTGACCATGCCTATTTGTTACAAGTGTTTTGTTTTTCTGTTTTTTTTTTTTCCAGTGGGGAGAGGAAAAAAAAATAAATGCGGATTAATAGGAGGACTGGGCTCATCAACTGACATAATAATGTTTTTTTTTCTGCACACTTGAAACTCAAAAAGACATTTCTACTTCATATCTCAACTATAACCTTTGTTATCAATATTCCTTAGCATTCCAAAGACTTTTTCATATTATATAAAAAAATAAAAATAAAACATGGTTTTACCCACAAGGACTGGATGTGTTGGCTGGATGATGCATATGGCTAACGTTTTATTGTAAATATGAAGACATGATCCTACAATCATTCCTATTGGGTCATTTCTTTGCTCATATTAGTCTTTTCCCCTTGGAACATCAGTAGAATATGTCAAATGTTAATAAAAATTTGTCAACAATTGATAGAGTATAATAAAAGTTTATCTTTGTGTGTAGTTTTTCCTATTTTACTAACTTGCAAATTAGGTGGGGGGACATTTTTAGATTTTCAAAATGTATAGTCTGGATGTCATAGTAATACAGTTTTGCTTATATCATTAATGATAAAATGTCCAAGAGACTCTCTGATGAAAAGATTTTAGAACTATTAAGAAATATAAAGATCCCAGCAGGACTCAAGTGAAGGGTGGAAGGTCCTCAGGTGTTACATATGTTTTCAGACTTTTTTAACATATTGATTAGACTTTTTTTCCTCATGAAAAAATATTTTTTATATAGGATGATTTTCTGGGAAGGGAAGTAATAGTTGAGATAATTATAACGATCTAAGAAAAAGAAGATACCAATAAAAACTTATCTTAAAAAACAACTATTAAGAAATATCTCATCATACTTATCCAATGTTGAGCTTTCAGACAGTGAATTCAATGACATAAACACTACAATTGAAAAAGTGAGACAAAGAGAATTCCTCATTTGATTCCAGCAATAATTATTCCTATCAATGAAGTTCCTGCTATATTTGACAATATAAATGTTAATAAGCAATGTGGATGATTCTCTAAATAGATGCAGAAAAAGCTTCTGACAAAATACAACACCCATCCTTATTAAAAACACTAGAAAGCATAGGAATAAATGGAATCTCCCTTAAAATAAGTAGCATCTACTTAAAACTTTCAGTAAGCATTATATGTAAAGGGGATAAGCTAGAAGCATTTCCAATAAGATCAGGGGTGAAATAAGGATGTTCATTATCACCACTGTTATTCAATATGATACAAGAAACATTAGCTTTAGCAATAAGAAAAGAAAAAAAAATTGAAGGTATTAGAATAGGCAAAGAAGAAACAAAGCTATCACACTTTGCAGATGATATGATGATATACTTAGAGAATCCTAGACAATCAAATAAATAACTACTTGAAATAATAAACAACTTTAGCAAAGTTGCAGAATATAAAACAAACCCACAAAAATCATTGGCATTTCTATATATTACTAACAAAGCCCAACAGAAAGAGATAGAAAGAGAAATTCCATTTAAAGTTACCGCAGACATTATAAAATATTTAGGAGTCTACCTGCCAAAACAAACCTAGGAACTATATGAACACAATTACAAAACACTTTTCACATACGTTTAATAGGAATGTATATGTATAGCCTATATCAGATTGCATGCCGCCTTGGGGAGGGAGGTGGGGAGGGAAGGAGAGAAAAACTTAAAACTCAAAAGTTTATGGAAGTAATGGTTGATAAATCAAAATAAATTAATTTTAAAAATAAAACAAAAAACAAAACATTTTTCACACAAATAAAATCAGATCTAAATAACTGTAAATACATCAGTTGTTCATGGGCATCCTACCTAAATTAATTTACTTATTCAGTGCCATACCAATTAAAGAACCAAAAAATTATTTTATAGAGCTAGAAAAAATAATAACAAGATTCATCTGGGAAAAACAAAACGTCCAGAATATCAAGGAAACTAACAAAAAGAAATGCTAGGGAAGGAGGCCCAGCCACACCAGATCTTCAATTGTATTATAAAGCAGCAATAATCAAAACTACTTGGTACTGGCTAAGAAATAGAGTGGTGGATCAGTGGAATAGGTTAGGTACACAAGACACAGTAGTCAATGACTATAGTAATCTACTGTTTGATAAACCCAAAGACCTCAGCTTTTGGGATAAATCACTCTTTGACAAAAACTGCTGGGAAAACTGGAAAAGAGTATGGCAGAAACTAGGCATAGATCAAAATCTCACACCATATACCAAAATAAAGTCAAAATGGGTTCATAATTTAGACATAAAGGCTGATACTGTAAGCAAACTAGGAGAGCAAGGAATAGTTTACCTATCAGATTTATAGAGAAGAGAATAATTCATGACCAAACAGGAGACAGAGAACATTACAAAATGCAAAATGTTTGATTACACTAAATTGAAAAGTTTTTGCACAAAGCCAATGCAACCAAGATTAGAAGGAAAGCAGAAAACTGGGAAAGAATTTTTACAACCAGTGTCTGTGATAAAGGCCTCATTTCTAAAATATATAGAGAAATCAAATGTATAAGAACACAAGCCATTCCCCAATTGATAAATGGTCAAAGGATATGAACAGGCAGTTTTCAGAGGAAGAAATTAAAATTATCCATAGTCGTATGAAAAAATGCTCTAACTCACTATTGATAAGAAAAATGCAAATCAAAACAACTCTGAGGTACCACATCACACCTATGAGATTGGCTAACATGACAAAACAGGAAAATTATAAAGGTTGGAGAAGATGTGGGAAAGTTGGAATATTAATGCATTGTTGGTGGAGCTGTGAACTGATCCAACCATTTTGGAGAGCAATTTGGAACTATGCCCAAAGGGCTATAAAAATATGCATATCCTTTGACCCAGCAATAGCACCTCTAGGGCTGTATCCCAAAGAGATCATAAAAATGTGAAAAGGATCCACATGTACAAAAATATTTATAACAGTTCTTTCTGTGGTGGCAAAGAATTGTAAATTGAGGGAATTGTCAATTGGGAAATGGCTGAACAAGTTGGGGTCTGTGAATGTAATGGAATAGTATTGTGCTATAAGAAATGATGAGCAGGGGGGCAGCTAGGTGGCACAGCTAGGTGATGCAGTGGATAGAGCACCGGCCCTGGATTCAGGAGGACCTGAGTTCAAATCTGGCCTCAGACACATAACAATTACTAGTTGTGTGACCCTGGGCAAGTCACTTAACCCCACTGCATAACCAAAAAACAAACAAACAAACAAGAAATAATGAGCAGGCAGACTTCAGAAAAACCTGGAAAGACTTGTATGGACTGATGCTAAGTGAAGTGAGCAGAACCAGGAGAAAGTTGTATATAGTAACAGCCACATTGTGTGATGACTAACTTTGATAGACTTAGCTCTTCTCTGCAATGCAAGGATCTAAGATATCTCCAAAAGTCTCATAATGGAAAATGGAAAGAACTACGGAATCTGAATGCAGATCGAAGTTTACTATTTGCTCTTTTTTTAATTCTGTTTTGTTTTGTTTCTTCTTTCTTGTGGTTCCTCCTATTGGTTCTAATTCTTCTTTACAACATGACTAATGTGAAAATACATTTAATAGGAATGCATATGTATAGCCTATATCAGATTGCATGCCATCTTGGGGAGGGAGGGGGAGAAAATTTAAAAATCAATCTTATGGAAGAGAATGTTAAAAACGATAATAAATTAATTAAAAAAGAGAGAGAGAGAGAAAAATAAGCAATGTGGACCCAAATTCAGGACAAAAGAGATGAAGGGCCACAATGCCTGAAAGA